GGGAGGGAGGAAGGAAGGAAGGAATCGAGAAAACTTAAAAATTAAGTTTTTAATTTATTTTAAAAATCACAGTATAAAGCCATAAAATTGTTATCAACAGGAACCATTCTCCCTATTACTTGTGAACAGATAAAGAGGACAGGAAGAGAAAACTTCACCATAACTTATATTTTTCTACTCTTTGGTTGAACATACTTTCAATCTGAGTATTAATAGTTTACATCTATTAAGACAAAATTAGGGATACAATTCAAATATCATAAGATTACAGATGTGGAAGCATTAAAATTGTTTCTATAAATGTATACATAAATTCTTAACATTCAAAATTTTACAAGACACAAAAATACTTATTTGACAGTAACTGTAATACATCATGCATGTACATTAGGGCCACTTAATCAGAGATATATAATTTAATTAAAATTTCATTATCATGGTTAAATCTGATGGCAGACCATATTTTTATATGTGGGTACAGCCAGAGCCCAAAGTGAATGAAGTGATAGCCCTAACTTCAATGTGATTCTCTTCTCCAAGTGTGATTCTCCTCCCTTCCCAAGGCTGTACGTGATATGGAAGAAGCAAGTATTAATGACTGGAATTAACCTATTCAGGAATGTGGCTTGAAGACAATTCAGGTATAGGCTAACCACAGATGAGTCTATCCTTGGCATATGTAATCAAATGTAGCAATACTTAATGACAATCACACTGTCATGACTGGGCTGCTGGTCAAAACAAATTTGGATCTCACTAAAACTATACAGTAATGTGTAATGAGGAACCTCATATCAATTCAAATTCTTCAAATACTTCCACATGTTTAGCTTTGAGCAAACAGTATCTCTAAATAGACTTATAAGAGTGCTTGAGGTTAAGCATCGCCAGTTCCAATTACTCTTATTCTCTTCTACATACTCCATTCCAAGGGTCCCCAACTCCCAGTCCGTGGACCAGTAACGGGCTGCAGCATGCCAGCAACCGGTCCGCACAAACAAGGAAAGCCCCATCCACAGAATGCAGGCAGCACACAAAACCACAACCCCTCCGCTCCGCTGAAAAAATCTCTCTCCACATAACCGGTCCCTGGTGCCCAAAAGGTTGGGGACTTCTGCTCTATTCTATTCTACTTTAGCATCTGGGTAAAAGGCCATATTTTGATAATTCTTCCAAAACGTTAAAAGGGTGGGGGCTGTCAAATCATCAGGGGAGAGTGTTCCATAAGGTCAGGGCAGCCATGGAAAAGGCACATTTCTGAGAAACCACTAAGTGGCAGGATTTCAGAGAAGGAATCTGGAGGGTACCTTTCCTATCTAATCTGGAGATATAGGCAGATATTCTTAAGGGGAGACTGTCCTGCAAACAGTCAGATCCCATGCCATTTAAAAGTGAAATCCAGCATGCTGAATTGAAATGCAATACAGGTGCAATGTGGGCAAGTCTACCAACACCCAATACTATGTGCACCTCTGCATTTGGGACCAATTGTAATTTTTGAGTGATCTTCAAGGGCAGAAACACATTGCAGTACTTATGTTTTTTATTCTATTTTTTAAACATGTGATCTTACTACTATTCTGTATCTTGTATTGCCCAATGGCCTATTGGCTAACCAGTAAAGTATTACACATACCAGACTCCAAAACTGATGGATGACGTCTCCCTGCAGCTTCATGTAAATGGTAAGCATCGATTCTTAAGGCATCCCACAGTTGAGGGGCAGAGGGCACAATCTTGGTTGGACTAGAAAGCCACCAAGGTTACTTTCAGCCCTATGATTCTATGATTCCAGTCAATGCCACCTGGAACTGACTGCTGAGAAAAGGTGGAGAATCACCACATTGCAGAGCCTTCACCTTCTAAGCCCTACAGTTGGTCCAGAAGGACACCATGATTAACAGTATCAAAAGATACTAATAGATCAAAGAGAGCTAAGATGCATACAACACTCCATCCTGGCTCCACCAAATCATCAGCAAGCATGACCAAAGCTGTCCTTGTTTTGAATCCCAGCCTGAAACCGACAGAAAGAAATCCAGATAATTAGCCTATCTTCTGATTGCCTGCATTTATTACCTGTGTCTTCTAAGCTTTCTTGTATTTCTCCATCATCTGTTACCTCTAGTTCTTTTACAAAGTTAGAAGGAAAAAGGCCTGTCTTGCCATTTAAAGTCCCACTCCACCAGCCTTCTTCCACCTGTGGAGAAAAATGAGGTTGGATTACCTCTAACCTGAAAAGAAAAGATGCTCACTGTTCTTACCATCGGAGCAAAAATACCATCAGAGATATACAGGAATTCAGGAGTACATTAAATATGCAGGACTAGTACATATACTTAAACGGTTAGAGCAGGGGTGTCAAACTGCCGGCCCAAGGGCCAGTTGCATCATGCAGACGCCGTGCCTATCCCAGCTCCAACAATATGAAAAAAGTCACAATAGGTTGCGACACATCATGTGACACAGTGAGTTGGACACCCATGGGTTAGAGCATGTGAGGCAAGGAATAGTGATGTTGGACAAGGGATAAGTCACCCACAAATGGATAGAAATTGCTCTACATAACCGTATGATACTAAGAAAACAGAGCAGTGGGTAATACCACTCTATTCAACCTTATACCGAACATAAAGTATGACCAAGCTCCTTTCTTACAAATAACAAAGCAAAGACATTCTGGACCAATGTCTTGCAACCAGTTTTTTATGAAGAGAGAAAATACGATGGCAGCATAAATTGGAGGAAAAAAGAACAACCTTTAGGTTTCTTTTCCCTTAGTCACTGACTGTTAAGTTCTAAGGAGTTTGAAAACTACTGTAAGCAGGAAGTTTAGAAGGTAAGCTTGATGAAGACTCTAAGAAGGCCGAGAAAAGAACTGTTTCAATGGCTTGTAAGATCTGTAGCATATTTCGTTTTCCTGAGGATGTACAACTGGCGCTTTTGAAAAATCTGCAATACAAGTACTCCTCATTTAGTGAACATAATTGGCACTGACAACTCAGTGTCTAAGTCAGTGGTGGCGAACCTATGGCACGGGTGCCAGAGCTGGCACTCGGAGCCCTCTCTATAGGCACACGTGCCGTTGCCCCAGCCTTGCCTCCCCCCGCGACCTCCTCAACAGCAGCCCCCCTGAAGGAGAGTTGCCCCCGAGCATGGCCCATACGGAGCAGCACAGCCAAGGACATGGCAGCCAGGCAGCGTAGACAAGACTCTGCCCTCACACCCCATCATGCAGTTGATGCTGCAGGGCGCGGGCAGAGGGTGTGGCCGCCATAGCGCTGCTGGGCTGCCTGGGCGATCTGCGGCGGGCCCTGGAGGCGGTGAGTGGTCCTGTGGGCAGACAGGGTGGGGGAATGGGGGGACAGAGAGGGGGCGGGGCAGGGGGTGGAGCAGGGGCGGGGCCAGTTTCTGGGCACTCGGTCTCTAAAAGGTTCGCCATCACTGGGCTAAGTAATGTGGTCACTAAGAAGAAAATTACATAACTGCTTTTATGCTTACAATTTTACTTCAGTATGCCTTTAGCATTACTTCCCTGCCCTTCGGAATGCTCAAACCAGCACTGGGATAATTACCAAGATGAGATTTAATGTTGGTATTTACATTCACTGGAGAGGAAGGGATTACAAGAGAGTAAACAGGCACACAATGGGGAGTACACATGGAAAGGAATGTGCTAGCAGCAGCTGTCTGCCTAATGCATCTGTGGCTCCAAGTACCCATGGTTAGGAGGCAAACAAAAGCCCAAGGTGTGAAAATGTATTGTCAGTTGTAGGCAGCAGCTGGGAGCAAGATAATTAAGATAATAAAACTGAGCTTGTTAACTTGCAGTTAGCACCTTTTGGGGAAGCACTGCAGAGAAAAACAGCTCAGGAAGAGATCACTTGTTTAAGCAATCTCTTCACTCTGTCAGAGGGGAAAAAAGAAAAAAAAATGGGTCAGGCACAGGACAATGTGTACCAACTATAATGGCAAACATGTGACCAAGACAAACACATTGAAGATCGTCAGTGCATGCCTTGGTCACAAAGTTATTTTTTCAGCACCATTGCTAACTTTGAAGTCACACAAGGCAGTTGGTAAACAAGTTATTTATATAGAGTCAATTGTAGTCTTTATCTTTTTCACAGTGAAAACAACACAGAAATGAAAATATCTAAAACAATTTTCTATTCCATTTATACTAATGCATGAACTAGAATTGGTTTATATGGTTCTTATTTGCCCTCAGTTTTATTCTTAGAACAAACCTGCAAGGTTAATTAAGCTGGGAGATACTTCTAGATCAGAATAGATATTTGGGTCTCCCTAGTCTTAATAGACATTGTAGAAGGAGAACTATATTAGTCAACGGCAGACAAAAATCAGAAGTGTGATTAGCATCTTTTGAGAATAACATATTTTTATTAAAAAGTTTTAATGAGCTTCTCATTTCTAGTATTTTAATTACTACAGTAAATCTCTATATAATAACTTTATCAGACCTAACTTTCCTATTTCAATTTTTCAAAGTCCTTCAAACATATATCATAAATAAGAACTATGATAACTGTCTAGTTAATTAATTGTAAGATAGAAATCTTCAGTCATTGTCTTTTTGATAGTTTGGAATTGTAATAGCAAAACAGAAGTTTCTAGAGTTCAATTCAATTATGACTTTCAGATTTAATTTTTCACAAAAATTATTTAAAATACCTTACCTCTTCATTCATGTCTATAATGTCGCCTACTTTCAGTTCTAACTCATCCTCATTCTGAGGAGTATATTCAAATAGAACTTTACATGGACGCTTTTTTGACCCTGTTGATAAAAGAAAACTTATTCAAAATAAAGTTTCATTAAAGCATCAAGATTATATTGTTATGAAAGATACTTAAATGATAAGAGTAGATGTAGAGCATTCATTGCTCTATAAAAGAAATAAACTGATTTGTAATTCCTTTAAAATTATACATTTATTTTGGCATAAAATTTGTAGCACACTATCCTCCCAGATTGAACACAGGAATTTAGAATCTTTGGCAGCAAGCTGGATACGAAGTACTGTAAAAAGGCTTCTGCTCCTGGCCTAAAGAAGTATCTATCACCCTCTCTCCTGTGGGAAGAATATTTTGGGAAATATTAAAAAGGCAGAATATATTTCCCCAAAGGGATAATGGAGAAGATCTTAAAAAAAGACAGAAACCAGCCCCCAGAAATCAGCCAGCCCCTAGGCAGAAGCCAGCTTTTAGAAATGCAAATTCAATAATCCTTTCAGCAAGGTTGGAGCCTTCCAGCAAGAAACTGAAGAAATTAGGAAGACAAAGACCCTTAAAATCTACATACCCCACCCAAACTCTAATATAGGACATAATAGGATTAACCCACCAATACCAAAAGGGCACACTCAGACTCAGGTCAAAGTACATGACACAGGAAATGCAAAGCCTCAAACAGGAACAGGAAACAACCTCAAGAGCTCCAGAAGGTATAAAAGCCCACCACTCTGCTCCATGTGGTCAGTTTTTTCCAGAGCCATCTTTCTGTCTGGCTCTCCTCTTCAATAAACTACAACCTTCTTTCTGAAGCAGTCTCCATTTTGATTATTCCCGCCTTGGACTGGACCCTAACGAAGAGTTTTCTTTCAACACTCCCCAACACCATGCTCTGTGTTGTGTTGAAAGAATTGTGGGTGATTGTTTCCTTTTCCTTCAGAGAAGTAACTCCATGCAGGATATATTCAGGAGCTTATCACTCCCAAATATTCAGTTATGAAGAAAAGCACAATATACAGAATGAAGGGAGGAACAACCTCATGCAAACAGAAAGAATTCCTTTTTTATTCTGCAAGGAAAAAAGAGTGAAGTAGAGTAGTACTTTAGGGAATGGCTTTCCCTTTTTGAAATCCCACCAAGAGATATCAGCTAATCAATCGGAAATGGATGGAGAGAATTTGGACTCTGGATCATATTCAATTTACTTCAGCAGCATTGAATCAGCTGGAAGGATGACCAACTTGCTGCAAGTCACCGCTTTCTTATTTTTCATCTGTAAACAACCTCACACAAAAGATCTGTATGCATTCAAAAATGCTTAAAACTGTATCATGCAAAGATTGTGTTAGCATCATTTCACTTAGGGGATTCATCAAAATCTACAAGTTGAAGGCCAAACACCTAAAGTTTTACATGCTGGAAAATAAACTCTGGAAAATGGGGTTTCCTTTTTTAAAAAAAAAACAATGCTAGGATTATTCAACATGAATACAAATTTTGAAAAGGGTCATGATGAATTAATTTGAATTATTAAAGCTAATTTTCTTTCATATCTTAAAGAGAGCTGCCAATTGCCACTCAGGGAATGAATTTTGGAATGTTTTTCCTCTTATATATGTGTTCCTTTCTCAGAAAGTAGCCTAAGAAGAAAAACCATGAGTCATCTACAACATACAGTGGAGAGCTACTATAATTAGTCCTTACATAGTTCAGAGTTATAACAGCTTTTGGAAAAAGTGACTTGCAACCCATCCTCAAAGCTACAATTCTTACATCACCCCTGAGATGATGTGATTGCAATTTGGGTGCACGGCAACCAGTGTGCATTTCTGACAGTTGCAGTGTCTGGAGGGGTGTCACAGGACTGCAATTTGCAACCTGCCCAGCCGACTTCCAACAAGAGAAGTCAAATAAGAAAGCCGGAGTCACATAATTATGTGATTTATTTAAAAACCACATGATTCACTTAATGACCATGGTGATTTGCTTAACAACTGTAGTAAAAATTGGTCATAAAATCGGTTTTTGTCATGTAATGACTCACTTAATGATTGCATTGTTTAGTGACCAAAATTCTGATCCCAACTGTAATAGTAAATCAAGGACTGTGTGTAGAACAAGACAGGCAGAGTGCTTCCATGAATACGAATAGCAAAAAGAAGACACAATGAAAACTCCTGAATCTCACAACACATAGACAGACACAACCACAACTCAGAAACTACAGGCATCTTAGACCAAGCCAAATCTCCAAATGCTAGGGAATTACTGGAAGCTTGGCATTCAGACAAATGAGCCATCAATAGACATCTACTACTGTTAGAGATAAACCATATTTATACACTATTCAAAAGAGCAATTAAAAAAACCAAAAAGAAAACAAACAAAAAAACAGAACATATCCTCTCCAACAGCCAACACCCAGATAAACAAGCAGGGATTAACAACAGACGATCAATACTTGAAGAAAGGAACTACCAAGAAGAAAGGCATACTCCCTCCAAAACTGGCAAGGTGTGATGGAGAGAATCAGTAGATAAGAGTTTTAGTAAACAGAGCTTTCCCAGGGAGAGGCCCAGATTAAGAGAGTGCTGGATGGGGCNGGGAGGGAATAGAGTAGCCATATCTTAGAATCTCTCTCAAGATATGTCTATATTAAAAGATTATAGTTTTAGTTTACCAAGATTCTGCCCATTAAATCTAAGCAAATAAAGGTTTAGACTCAACTGGATCTCACTGCATAATCTTTGGGCTTGGGCTTTGGGCAAGTTACTATAGTTAACAGGGGAGCAAACTCCACACTCACTCGTACTGATGATGTTACCTAGCTGGATAATAAAAATTCTGCAAGCAAACAACTCCACATTTCTTAGAATAATCTGGAAAAAAAATCATTTCAATGGACTGGCAGACACACAGACTGACTGGAATGTTTTAATATTACACTGCTATAGCTACCTCAGAACCCTTAACAAAGGATAGTGCAAGTTCAGAATGCCGTGTAAGAAGGGACATCCCTTTTTGTTTTGGTTAGAAGGCTTGAAAGAAACAGATAGGTCACTCTGGCTTGTTTATTTTTGCAACTTCTGGATACTTAAAGGGTTTCTGTAAATAGAGCTTTCAAATTTCCTACTTTATGAATAGAGATCAATTCAAAAATACTATAGTACTTTCTCTAACCTAATAAAGATCAAAGTCCTTTGTGACTTCAGGAATGTGTGTGTGTGTGTGTGTGTATACACATATACATACATACGTACGTACGTACGTACGTACATACATATATAAAAGTACTATATTGCAGAAATCAAATACCATACATACTTCTTCTGAAGCCTTTGCCCTGAGGCTGGAATGCTCCGGTTGGAAAACCGTAAGTACTCATACGCTGAACAAGGTTGGCCACATTTCCATGCCTTTCCCTTTTGACTGGCAAACCATCTTCTTTAGATTCAGTTTCTCTCTTAACTTCCTGGTAAATACAAAATGGGAAATGAATTGCCCATGTTAACAACCATTGGGTTCATAGTAAAATATATGTAATATGGTTAGTGGCTAGGCACAACTTTCCTGCCATACAAATATAAATTGCAAAAATGAGCCCATTTAATAGACACATATCTAGAAAGCAGGTTGAGCAGAAGCAACTTAGCCAAGGATTTTAAGTTCACATGCCTCTACTCTCCAAAATCAGTTTCAGATTCCCTTGTATAATACTTATACATAATACAGACAATCCCCTTTGAAAGGAGTGTTTTTGCATGACATACTTTAGAATATTATTTTCCCCAAAAAAGATATTAATATTTTGTTTATGAATATATTTTATTTTATTTATTTAAAACACTATTATGGTTTAACTTTTATACAACAATGCCGGGCAATTCACAACAACAATAAAGCATAAAAAGAGGCGATATTTGTTTTCTTTTTATGACTCTATAATCCTTTTTATCAGGGTGGAGTCATGGCAACTGAATGGAGCTGAGCATTTACTTTCCGGATGCCCTTCCTGACGCCTACACGGACTCCATAGTAGATATTTTCTCTTTGTGCCCTGATACGGAAACATCTGTTTTGAATTTGCAACCTTCCGGGTGGGACGCAAGCGTCTTCACCTCTAGGCCACCACACCACTCAAAAAAGGGGCAATAATATTAGCAGCAAAAAAACAACACCTTGTCTTCCCCAAAGCATTCTGCCATATATTTGCTGGGCTCCAACTTTACCTTAGCAGACATAGACAATACTATCTCAACTTGACCTGTATTGTGATTACAGATAGTCCTCAACTTAAGACATTGGCACTGGAATTTCCATCATTAAGTGATGCAATCATAAAGTGTGACCACGTCGCTTAGTGATGGCAATCCCTGCCATCATTAATTGAATCCCAGTTGTTAGGCAAGGAAACTTCCTGCTGGTTTCCCAGAAAATGGAACATTGGAGACTTGACAAAGATTTCCATTGATCTTGGGTTCTAGGATGGTGTCTTAAGAAAGGGGTGCACCGTTACCCTTATCCAAACATGAGGCATTAACTATTCCCTGGACCCATTCCCATGCCATCACCTTGGAATCCTTAACCAGCCAGGAGGAGCATGGATCTAGAACACAGCTAGCAGAGCAAGGACCGTGTCTACTTCCTCAGCATTCCCTGGCTCAAACTCTTTCCAAATAATCAAAATAAGATATATCCCTATCACTTCCACCACATGTTTATTAGATCCGTGTCCCTCCTGGCTGGTACTGGCAGCTCGGGAGGGGACACGAGCCTGGTTCCAGGGAATTGTTAACGCTTCTTTGCGGGAGGGTGTCTTCCCGGCGGCCCTAAAGGAGGCCGTGGTGAGGCCCCTCCTCAAGAAGCCTTCCCTGGACCCAGACGAGTTGGCCAACTATCGCCCGGTCT